ATACTTATACAAGGGTTGTTGTGAAGATTTAATGAGGCTTCTTTGCATGTGGTTCTGGGAGTGAACCCAGGGCCTCATACATGCTAAGTGCCACTCTACCACTGAGCTACAAGATGAGGTTATTTTTGAAAAGTGTTCTGCATGGGGCCTGGCACATGTTGAGAGTTGATCTCACTGTCTCTGATCACAGATTAGTTTCCCCACCTGGCTTGGAGACTCCTGCCCTAGGGAGGTCATAGGTCTAAGCCCCTAGGCAGAGGGAGGACTGCCCCAGACAAGCCTGAGGCAGATCAGGAGCTGGGCTAGGTGCCAGCCACAGACAAGGCCTGTCCAGAGCAGGGACCTCTGGGAAACCTTCCTTTCTTGGGCCCAGGTTCTCCATCTCCCTCTCTTGTCTATTCCTCAATCTCCACAGCACATTGCCCCCCAGTTCCCGTAATAACAATGCCAGAAGCTACCTGTGGAGTCTGTAACTACTTCCAGATACCGTGCTTTCCAAACATCCATTGGTTAGTTCCCAACAGCTATTTCAGCCCAATTCTTTCTTTTTCAAAGAGCAGAAGCCCAAATACATTCCCTAAAAGGAATTTTTTGACTCATATAACTGAAAAGACAGAGGACAGATGATGTCAGGGCTCATAACTGATATCCAAGGGCTCATAACGTAATCAGAAACCTGCCTCTCTCTGTTTCTGTTTCCTTCTTAGTGGATTTATTGACATTCAAATTCTACCCTTATGGTGACAAGATGGCTGCCAACCACTGTAGCAGCCAGCTTAGTTATCACCTTACTTATAGAATAAGAATATTTCCCCCAGTAGTCTAAGAAAAATCTAGGTTGGCATTCTAATTGGTTGGCTTTTGGTCTTGCACTCCTCCTAAACCAATCTCTGTGGCCAGGGAATTGGAGACCTCTCATTGGCTAGGACAGAGTCATACACCCACCTCTAGATCTAGGAAATGGGATCAGGTCTATGGAAATCAAAGGGAATGGAGAGGGGAAAGGAAGATTCCCAAAATGAAAATCAAGAAAGAAGGATAGACACTGGCTGTGGGAACAATTTCTTGAACCCTGGGAGTGAGCTGTTATTATATCCATGTCTGGCTTGAGATTGTTTACCTGTTTACCAGCCCTTTTTCATCATCTTTCTGGGCACAGCTGAACTACATTTCCCAGCTTCCTTTGCAGTTAGGGAAGGTCATATGACTAAATTCTAGCCAATATAGTGTGAGTGGAAATAATGTCATCACCTCCAGGACTGGCCCATAAAAACCTGATTATCATCGACATCCTCTTTCTTCCTCTCCTGGCTTGCTGCAGTGTGGTGACCTTGCAATCAAATTGAAGATGGCAGAGCCACAAAAGGGAAGGGGCCTGGGTCTCCATATCACTACCCCACTAAGTTGACAATGGGCTTCCGATTTTACATCACTGAGAAATAAACTGGGATGCCTTTGTACATTTTTGGAGTGACTTTGTTATGACAGTTAAGTTAACCTAACTAATAATTGCAGATGAGCAAAGTGAGGCTCCGAAGGGTGACGTGCCTTGCCCTGGGCCACACAGCCTAGCAGAGGTTTAAAGCTGGATCCATTTTTAGACACAGCCCTTTAGCTACAATAACCGACTAAACAAATCCCCAAGAAACTGCTCAAAAACAGGCCATTCTCTGGGAAGGGCACAACAGTATGCTCCATGAAATCTGGGGAACCACAAGGAGAAGTTCAGTAAAGCCTTTGAGGAAACTGGGTGCCACAAGGCAGCGTCTCTCCCCATCCCTCTCTCCCCCACTGGAAGTTTTGTCTCAACTCCCTGTTCCTTGTGCACTTGACTTTCCTTTGCTCTCCTTCTGTCCCACTTGATATGATATTGAGCTGACCCTCTAACTCTGGTCCAAACACCAGTGCCCTCCAGAAACAATCTCCAAAGCTTAGGATATCAGCAAGGAGTCAGCTTGGGCCAGCAAACCTTCTCGTGGCTGACCTACTCTGGGTCAGGGCCTCCACTGTCTATTTGGCAGGGGTCAGAAATTACATGAGCAGCTCAGGCTGACTCCCAAGAGGCCTTCTTTAGCCCCCAAACACAGAACTATGTTTGTTTGTTTGTACCAGGGATTGAACCCAAGGGCCCTTAACCACTGAGCCACAACCCTTTTAATTTTTTGAGTTTGAGACAGTCTTGTTAAAGTTGCTTAGGGCCTCACTAAGTTGATGAGGCTGGCCTCCAATTTGCAATCCTCCTGCTTCAGCCTCCCTAGCCACTAGGATTATAGGCATGCACCACTGCACCCAGATGAGGCTGTTCTTTTTGTGTTTTTTGTTTTGTTTGGGATGCTGGGAATTAAAACCAGGGGTGCTCTACCACTGAGCTACATCTCCAGCCCTTTTTTTAAAACTTTATTTTGAGGCATGGTCTTGCTAACTTTTGAGGCTAGCCTCAAAATTTCAACTATCCTAGCTAAGCCTCCTAAGTATCTGGGATTACAGGTGTGCACCATCATGCCTGGCAACTCAGGCTGCTTTTGATTACCTGTAACACCCTCTTCACTAAGTATTCAAATTCTTCTGGGGAAGACCTACCTTTCCTCTGTCTTGGCACATAAAGCAGACAGTCATGGCTGCTCCAGAGAATGATACATTCTGCCTCTGTCTGTCCTGTGGGGTAGTTGGGAAGAACTGAGATGGTGTCAGGCCTGAAGCTCTGGGCCCATAGCATCTGGGAAGTGGGGAAGACAGACCTGTCCTTTGGACAGTCTTCCTGTGACCATATTGTTCTTGTCACTAGCTCTTTGTCTAGGTGCGGACAGAGGGCATAATTGGGGACACACAAGCAACTGGGCAGGTAGTTGGAGTATAAAATGACTGTGATTTGGTGGAGCTTGGAGGGAGCAGAGCAGGCAGGCATGCTGACAGGTGTGTCAGCCTTCCAGGTGGGGGCCACACTTGCCAGCAACTGTTTGCCTGTCCAGGGGTGGTTTGGAGGTAGGGTGGGGTGGGCTGAAGAAAAGGAAATGGGCCAGCCTGCCAGAGCAAACAATCAGGTCTTCTGGCCCTACCTTCTAGCAAATGCCAACTCACAGCAGAGGGTGGGGTGGAAAGGGAGAGGCTTAGGGTTAAGATCCCCAGGGCTGGCAAAGGGGCTCTCAGACCCCAGGATATATGTGTTTGGAGGGGTAGGAGTATTCCAGCTGCTTGAATGCCTAGGACTCTACATTGTCTGAGACAGAAGTGTGTAGTGGGGAGCTATCTGGCATTGTCTTCAGCCTCATCCTGCCTGACATTATTCCTAGCAACTTAAGGATGCAATGGGACTTTGTAGACTGTAGGGGGTGGGAGGAGGGAAAGGGACCAGTGGAGATATCCGGAGATATTGGCTTGTGATCTAAAACGTCCGGGCTGAAAGGATTCATAGCCAGACAACAAGCCTCAATCTATCTCCACAGCAGCAGACTGATGTGATGTGGACGGATGAGGGAGTCTGGGTGACCCTTGAAAAGTGGCAAAGTGGACCAGCCAGTCCTGACCACAAGTGTGTAGAAAGGGAGAGACATTGGAGGAGAAGCCAGTCCTATTTCCTGAGCAAAAGCTAGAAACCGGGCGCACAAGGTCAGACATAGCTAGAACTTGAGGCTTGCAGGTGGGGGCATCAGGAGGTGGGTACAGTTGCTATTATCCAGGAAGGCCACTCCTGGAATCAATGATCCTGTGCAGCCTTGGTGATCCCAGAGGCTGCAGCTCTGGACAGTGGAGGCCTGCTTGGTGGATTGGGGTGGGGTAAGACTGGATGAGTCTCTCAGGCTGGAGGGGTAAAGATCAGATTGCTCTCTTTGCTCCCTTTTTGGGTTGGGTGGGTGGTTTCTGTCTTCCCGCATCTTCTTCCTCTGATCTGCACTCCTTCTCCTCGCACTGGGGGTGAGCACTGGAATGGGGGACCCTCTGTGCCCCTACCTCCCTTGATCAGGGTTACTTTCCTCAAGGACCCTGGGTAGAGACCTTGGTCCCACCCCTCAGGTGTTTCTAGGAGCACACACACACACCCATCACCCCAGCAGCTACGTTTCCTGCAGGGGCAGAGGGGTGTGCTTGCGTCCCAGGTAACAAGTCTGGTTTTCTCTACCTTCTCCTCCACTGATTCATTGTTAGTCTTTCTGGTTGTATGATGAATAACCCGCTCATCGCTGCACATTAGGAGAATAATGAAAGCGCAAACATCCTAAGAGGAAACCATCAGGTGGTTTCCTCTGGAGGAGCCCTGGCTTATTCAAGGCTTTTGGGTTCCGTCCAGATTCAGGGTCACACTGTGCTGAATTGGAGTTGGGAAGTAGGACGCCCCTCTATGGACAGCTCCATTTTGCAACACATCCCCCCTCCACCCCAGGAGAACAGGAAAGGAGGTGAATGTGGCAGCTCCTAGATCAGCACTGAGCATTCCCCCAGCTCTGCAGGCACAGGGATGGAGCCCCCACCGCCACACCACTCCCAGGCCACGCGCCCTCAGCTGCCCCTGGCTCGGCTGGGGCTCGCCCCGCCAGAGGCCTCAGTGCCCACTTCTGTAGAATGGGCAGGCGGCGGGGCTGGGCGCCCCGGGGCGCGGCAGGCGGGGCCCCGAGGCTCGGAGGGGGCCGGAAGGGGTGTGAGTGCGGGGGCGGGTCCCGCGCCGCCCCGCCCCGGGGAGGGAGCCCGGGGCGCAGCATCCTGGCGCGGGCTTTGGCCGCTGCCGCCACTGCCGTCGGGGAAGGTCCCAGCGCGGACATGGCCTCGCGCGGCGCCCGCCCGGGCTCAAGCCCCCAGCGACCGGTGCAGTAGCTCAGCGAAGAGGCGGCCTGGAGGGCGCAGACGGCCGGGCGGGCGGCATGGAGGAGGCGCACCTGCTCCCGGCCGCCGACGTGCTGCGCCACTTCTCGGTGACAGCCGAGGGCGGCCTGAGCCCGGCGCAGGTGACCGGCGCGCGGGAGCGCTATGGCCCCAATGGTGAGCGCGCGGGCCGGGCCGGGGAGCGGGGGCCGCGCGCGCCTCAGTCTCAGACCCCTTGCCCCGCGGCCAGGCGGTGCTCTCCCTCCAAGATCTAGGTCCCCGCGGGCGGGCAGGAAGTGAGGGCTCCGGAAACCTCCGCAGATGCTCTTGGGGCACCCGGCTGGGCTGCGCGGCCACCTTCGAGGGGGTGGGGGCGGGTTCCGGCTTAGGGGACCGACGCCTGCCACCCCCTCCGCGCTGGGTCCTTCCAGGCTTCTTGCTGCGGTGCGGTCCCATCCATTTCTGCAAGCCTTAGCCAGCCTCATTCGCAGTCCAAGCTGGAACCCCGCGCCGCGCTGCGACCCGCGGGTATCATGCAGGTGCAGCAGACACTGAGACCTGCTGGCCGGGAACCGGCCGAGCACTCTGAAGTCCAGCCTCCTAGCCGATCCAGGGGTCTCCCCTCAGGGCGCAGTAAAACCCTCAAGTAGGTGCAGCTTGTAGGCTAGCGGCCGTGGTGCCCCCACCCCCACCTCCACCCCCAGGTCTTCCTCTTTCTGCAACCCCAAGCGGATGTAGCTGGCAGGAGTCGTTGGGGGCTTTGAACTGCTGGGGCCAGAGACCCATCTTCCTGGGCTGGCCGACTGGAGGTCCCAGAGAGTTGCCAGAGGCTGGGTGACCTGGAGTGGTGCCTGCCCATCTTGGGCACCAAGGGAGCCTTCCTGCTTTTGCAGTTTGCGTGGGAGAGAAATGGGTTCTTCCTCATCGCCTTCAAAGAAGTGGGGGATTCTTCTTTTTTTTGCTAAGGCAATGGGCAAACGCCTCCTGGTACTATCCAAATGAGGCCCAGCACATTTGGAGGCTCCTGAGGATGGAAGTCTCTTGACTGCGTCCCTTCCAGGCAGGATCTGCTACCCTCACAGCACCTGGTAGAGTGTGAGGGGACCAGAAAGAAAAGTTGCTTCCATCCCCAACGTATTGCCTGAGCCTGTGTAGTTTTGGGATTTGGGGTCTCCTCCTTTGGGGTTCCCAGTCAGTTGGAGGGGAGGGTGCTCTGGCCTGTGTCCCTGTGCTCAGGGCTGGCTTGGAAATTACACATTGCTGTCAGAAAGGTTGCTTCAGTTCTGTATTGGTTTATGAAAACCACCTCTTATATAAATATTATCTTTCTGGAGCAGAAATCCTTTTTCAAAAAAAATAGTTGCTATATTTAGTTGAGCTGTGGGAGGAACTGGGGAGATAAATATTATTTAATATCCCCCATTAATGACTTGGCAGGGAGGGTGTCCTTCGCTGCAGGAGAACAGGGTAGCAGGAACTGCCCCCTGGCTCTGGGGTAGGGTGGGAATCCCTGTAGGCAGGTCTGGGCTCCCACAGCCTTTTTGGTATCGCTGTGGTCCAGCTTGGGAATCTTGATTCCCAAGGGAAGCTGGAGATCCAGCCCTCCCTTCCATTTCCAGAATCTCACACATTCTGCCCTTGCATGACCCTGGCCAAGGTTCCTGTCCTTTCTAGCTCTCTTGTCTTCAGGGGTCCAGCAGAGGAGGAACTGACAGTGTAGTCCCTAGTCTCCTGCCCCTGTGTAGTTTTGTCTGGGTGAGGGGATCCTGGAGTGCTCTGGCCCCTCACCATCTGTGTGAGGTGATGGGCGTGGTGTATAGATCCACAGGTAGGCGGGTATGTGTTGATGTGGTAGGAAAATGGGGACATTGCTAGGTTCCCCTGGTTCCTCTGTACTTTGCTAGTATTAGTAATAAAAGCTGATGCTCACTGAGCACTTACTATGTGCTAGGCACTGTTCTCAGCACTTTTTCATCTATCATTTCATTTCTTTCTCCAAACAACTCAGATGTTGGGGCTATTGTCATCTTTATTTTAGAAAGGAGGTAACTGAGGCACCAGAAGTTTAAACAACTTGGCAAGATCACACAGGATTGTAGTGGACTTAGCACAGATGCCTACTCCTCTCTGGGCCTCAGTTTACCTATGTGTAAAAGATCACAGGTTCTGTAGGCTCGGGGACCCTGGTGTGGCAGCATCTATACCAGTTTTGTCCTCAGACCCTAAGAGGCCTCAGAGGGCTCTTCCCTCACATCTCTGGTGCTTCTTCCTCAGGAACCATTCCAGGCCTCTGGAAGTGAGCAGAGGGAAGCCAGCTGCCCCTTACTGCCCTGTGCTCCACGGCCTGTGGATGAGGCTTGTGTGTCCTCTAGGTGCTACCTGCACAGCTTTTGGGAAGGGGCTGATGGGGTTCTGCACCCTGGCTCTGCCCCTTCATAGCTGTGTGACCCCAGACAAGCCCCTGGGCCTTTCTATGCCTTGGTTTCCTCATTGTCAATGAGGCCGCAATAAAACCATCTCTTAGAGTTGTTTGTGCGTGTTTAGTGAGATCACTTATACCAAGTCATCTGCCTCTGTAGCAGAGGAGGTTGGGCTGGGCTCCTGGCCAGGAGGTGGTTGGTAGGGTACAGGGCCTGTGGGTGGAGGGAACACCCCAGGGACTAGTGTTCCTCCCACCCCAGGCGTCTGTGCACCTGCAAGGTCGTTAGCACTGGAAACCACAAGGAAGTCATTTGTTTAAGTCTTAAAGTTTGCAAATTCTGCCAGGGGCTGGGGGAATGGAGCCTGGGGATCCCACCCTCCTACCTCTCCTTCTCCTCCTTCCTGAGGACAGAAGCCTCAGAACAGGGGGTGGGAGCCTCAGAGACACAGTGTGTGTGCCAGCCGGGAGTCCCCTGTGCATACAAAACACCATCTGTCCCAACCTCACGGGAGCTGGTGAGGCCCCAGCAGGGTTTATCTTTTTTGTAATACTGGAATTGAATCCAGATGTGCTCTACCTCTGAGCTACATCCCTAGCCCTCTTTAATTTTATTTATTTATTTGTTTTTTAAATTTTGAGACAGGGTCTAATTGAGTTGCTAAGGCTGGCCTTGAGTTTGTGATCCTCCTGTCTCAGCCTCCCAAGTAGCTGGGATTACAAGCCTAATACATACCCGACATAAATTTTTTTTTAATTAAAATTTGCGTACAGTGGGCTGGGGATATAGCTTAGTTGGTAGAGTGCTTGCCTTGCATGCACAAGGCCCTGGGTTCAATCCCCAGCACCGCACACACACACAAAAAGAAAAATTGCATACAATATAATCTTCAAAGGGTACAAAAGGTGCACAGTAAAGACATCTGACTCTGTTCCTAACCACCTATCCCAGTGTTCCCAATTCCTGTGTCTCCTTCCCAAAATATTCTGTGCATATATGCATGCACATCTAGGATCTTTTTAAAAATTTCCTGGCTGTGCTGGGGATTGGACCCAGGGCCTGGCATGTGCTAGGTGAGCCCCTTACTAAGTACACTAAGTACACCCCATCCCTGGGATTTTTTTTTTTTTTTGCATGAAAGGGAGTGAGTTCTATGTGCCGTTTCTACCCTGCTTTCCACTTGACCAGCGCTCTTGGAGGTGGTTCATAAGGGAGCTTTCCTGGGTTCCCAGTGGCTGTGCTGGGTTCCGTTGTGGGCCTGTTCCAGTGTTTCTTCATCCCACTTCTGAGAGCCGCTTGCGGTGGTCACAGCCTCTGCTATTACATGCAAAAGATAAAGAATATCCTTGTCCCTCTATCACTTGTGAATAGCCCTGAAGGATAAATTCCTAGAAGTGGAACTGCTGTGTGCGGAGTGTGTTTGCAGTCTGACAGCTGTTGCTACTTTACTGTCCTGAAGGTTGAACCAACCGACCTGCCCATCTGCCACCTGGCCAAAGTGTATAAGGCACTTGTGTAAGTGTGTAACTTGATCTGTGCCAGTCATAGAAAAGTGTCCCCTTGTGGGTTCTGTACTTGGCATTTTTCTATTTACAAGTCAGGCTGGGTATCTTTTTGTACCTTCAGGAGTCATCCAATTTCCTTGTATCCGCGCTCACATCCTTTGCTAGACTGGGGCCAAGGTCAAAGACTGGACTGGGTTAGGTACATCTGCCACACAACCTTGCTCCTAAAGGCCCTGGAGAGCCCAGGGATCTGAGGGTCAGATTAGATCCCAAGAGGTCTCTGGGGGTGGCCCCTGTTCAGGGGAACTTATGGAGAGAGAGCGCCTGGCCTGGACCTGCCTCCCTAGTCTGCACACTGCCTGTCTGTGCAAAGGGTACAAGGTCCCCAGGGCTGCCGCAGGGTGGGATCGGTGGCCCAGATTTGGAATCCTTCCAGTGGTGTTTTGGCTATGGCCTTATTTCCTGCCATTATCCCAGGCCTCAGTTGGAAACCCATATGCATGACCCCTGGAAACCAGGCCACCAGGAGTGGGTTAAGTGGAACAAGAAGGTGACTGCAGTGGCCTTACTTGCTGAGTGGCCCCAGGCAGACTTGCCCTTCCTTTGGTCTCGAGATCCCCTAAGGGCCTTGAAGGATCTAACACTGACTCCCAGTGGGAGAAAGTGTGATTTGGCCGCAGGCCAACTGGAAACTCAAGGATTTTCAGGCTTCACCCTAGTTTTCACACCTACTGGCCCTTGCTGGGCAGCCTTCGTCCCCCATGAGCAATATCAGGCCTTGCCCCACACTGCCACAAGACACATAGGTGTTGAACAAACCCTTAGCATCTAGCGCCAGGTCAGCCAGGTAGGCCGACCGAGAGCCTTTCTGCAGAGCAGGAGCCACTTTCTAAGGCCCCTCAGTGTCCTCTGAGGAGCAGGGCCAGTTTGTCCACTCTAGGTGGACCCTGGAGACAAGGTCAGGGCCCGGTGGGCTGGGCGGGCTCTGACCAGCCAAGGCCTCTCCCTACCTCTGCAAGTGATGATTTGATTGCTTTGTAAATTTACCTTGGAGGAAGCCTTGGGTGAGTGCTCTTCTCTCCCGGCTGCCACTGACATTTAGAAGCTGAAATTCCAGTTTCCAGTGTTGTGAGAAGGAAGGAGTTGGGGGATTAGGGAGCAGGTGGTGTGTGGAGCCTGGGGGCAGCCCTGGCTGTACAGCTTCTCCCTGGCTGCAGGCTGTGGGCCCAGGCCCTGTTCTGAACCATGGAACAACTGAATAAACAAAGGCTGGGAGGACTTGGTATGGACCAGGAAGACTCAGCCTCTCCCTGCCCTGGAGGTGCTCCAGTCTGGAGTGAATACTGGTGACTAGGCCAGGAAGGCAGGGCCATCAGGTGGGCCAGGAAGGCTTCGTGGAAGGGTTCAGATGAGATAGGGAAAGGTTTTCTGGACAGAAGGTAAGATGCAAGCAAAATATTGGTGGAGGAAAACAGGGAGGTGGTAGCAATCCTGAGGCTTGATGGGTGGCAGAGAGTTCTGCATCTGAAATGTGGACGTAATTCTAGAAGGGCAGGTTGGGGGTAGCTCCAAAGTCTGAAAGACCATTCCAAGGTCAATTATTATTATTATGCAGGCTTCGGACAGCCACTGAAGGTCTATGACAGGGCAGAGGCTGGGTCACTCATTCTTCAGTTTGTTCTGAGTAACTACTATGTGACAGGCACCGTTCTGCTACACTAAACACAGTGCCACTATCATGGAGCTTATGGTCTAATAACCGTTGTGCCAATGACTGTCACTGTGGGCTATCAGCGCATCCTGGGCACTTTGTGCATGTCATGCAAGCTTCACATAACCTTATAAGGTATCACTGCTACTAGCTGCTGTGTGCTGATGGGAAAAGGGACACAGGAGCTTTCATGGCCTGCCTGTTGCTATGACAGTACCAAGAGACAGAGCAGGACTTGAACTCAAGCCCTCTGGACCATATTCTTTGCTTTAAACCCTGGAGTTTCTCGGATCACTGCCCCACTAGCCCGCCCTAAGTCCACAGTCTCATTCTCAGGCTCCTTGGCCCCACAGGGGCATCAGCAGACACCAGATCTCTCAGTCTGGCAGCAGTGATCCAGAGCAGGGGTAGGTTGGGAGAGGCCCAGATGAGAATAGTAGGGGTCGTGTGCCCCTGCATCGGCCAGATGGGGATGCAGGAGGAGCAGTACCCCCTTACTGCTTTGCCTTGAGCTGCCCAGCCAATAGCACAGAGGTGAGCAGGGTAGGGCAATCCCCCACTTAGCAAATGCAGCATCTGGCTCAATGGGAACTGGCTCAGCCCTACACCATGCAACTGCGGGTGACATGGGGGACCCAGCATCTTCCTGGGATGCCTGTGGTGGAGGCATGGGGCTCTCCCAGCCATGGTTTCCTTCTGTGGCTCTGGGACTTGTTCACGTGAGGGGAAAATTGTATCTTTGGATCTTTGGTGGAACTGACACTTGAAGCAGACTGGGCCTGGGCTGGCAGGGCCTCATGGCCCCCATACACCTCCTGTGAGAAGAGCAGATCCATTTGGACAATGATTTTGGTTGGTGGCTCTGGGGCTGCTACAGAGGGATGGGCTGGTGATGGGATGACGGCATCCAGTCCAACTATCAGGAGACTATTAGGATATCAAATTTTGTTAGGTGATGGCTGGGTGGTAAACGTATCAGAGGAGGGAAGGCAGGGCAGCCTAGGTGTTAGCACAGGAGGCCCAGAGCAGAGGGTCAAGAGCTAGACTGCCTGGGCTCACTACCTCTCTCTACGCTTCCTGGCTGCATAACAGTTAAGTAGTCACTCAGCCTCTCTGGGCTTTGGTTTTCTACTCTGTAAAATGGGAACAACAACAGCATCCTCCTTCTCAGGTTGCTTGAGAATCATAAGGGAATAACATGCCCAAGGGGTTAACACAGTTTCAAGACCCACTGCTCCTGGGTTGCCTGCTGAACACCTCTTGGCTTGGCCCCCAGTTATCATCCCATGTATCCTCTGGACGTGAGGTAGGTAAGACCTGACACACTGCTTGGTGAGTGGTAGGAGCTCAGTGAATGTAGCTCCTGATGGTGATGATGATGATTGTCACAGCAACCCTTCAAGGTAGGTGTGGGTACCCATCCTCCCAGTAGGGTGCAGGGCCCCACAGGGAGTCAGCTGCTTCTGCAGGACTGGAACCACTCATGCCACGTGCAGGGATGGGCAGGCTGGCTGAGCCTCCCCAGGTGAGGGTGGAAGGGGAGCCTGGTGGTAAAAGCCAGGTCTGAGCCAAGGTAGGTTATTGCAGTAACAACCCCAAGATCTCAATGGCTGGCTGGGCTCCATGGTGAGCACCTGCAGTCTAAGCTACTCTGGGAGGCTGAGGCAGGAGGCTCTCTTGAACCCAGGAGTTTGAGACGAGTCTAGACAGCATAGCAAGATCCCATCTCTCGTCCTTTTTTTTTACCCCAAAGTCACAATCCTCTTGCCTCAACCTCCAAAGTAGTTGGACTTATAGGCATGCACTACCACACCCCAGAAAGATCTCATCTCTTAAAATATCAAAAAGCCCCTCAATGGTTCATTTCTCACTCTTGCTGATTGCCAGTGGCAG